TAAAAATTTTATTTGATGATGAGTTTATTGAATAAATAAATAAATATAATAAATATATACCCGTAATAAGTGGAAAAGTTTAACTTCAGCAGGAGGATCAAAGATTCCGGTAGCAATAAAAGTCTTACAAACATAACCACCCTTAATTTACGAGGTTTCATTTATTTTATTGAGGCTTTATCAAGTTCTTACCGGATAATGAATTCCGGTCAATTTTTAACGATAAATATACCTTGCGGATAAATTACTGCGCAAGTGCTATTCGTGTATGGCTGGAATTTTAACCACCGATGTAATTTATATACACCACGTATATTTATCATCTCAAATTGACAAATCATTTATTATTATTCTCCTGAGAGCGTGATAAAGTCAAGATAGAAAAGATCAACCGGTAAATCATCAATTGTATTTTCTTTTCTTTTATTTTATTTCATTGTTGGTAAATATTATTAATCCTCGAGTTTTTCTCTGGGAGTGGAAAATCCGATACCTAACTATTTTATTAGATCATTAAATTTTATTAGGTTTATCTGAAAATTAACTATATTTTTTTTTAAAGAGTCAGTACTTAAAAGACCAGATGAAAGCGATTTTTAACGATTTTTTCTGAAGAGTCTTTTTAATTGGTTGATATAAAAATACACCAATAAAAAAGTAAACTTGGCTTAGAGGGAAAAAAATCTTAAACCAAGAATAATATTTTGAAAAAAATAATTATCTTCAGTCAAGAGAAAAAATTGTTGAACCAAGAAAAGTTTACTTCAATTAAGAATAATTTCTTGGTTCACAATATTTTTTACCGTGCAATTACAATTAATTTAACGATAATTTGAAAAAAAAAAATTACTTTCCGTCTTTACTAGTAACTTAGAAATTCATGAAAAAGTTTTTTTTTTTTTACAAATAATCACCGAAATTATCAAAAAAATTAAGAAAATAATATCTATTTCTAACAAAATAGTATATAAATTTTTGATAAAAATGTTAGCATTAAATTATTTATAAAAATATGAAATATTTGGATCAGTTACTAAAAAATATAGTTAAAAAAATTGTTTATAAGTTTGAGACCGACCTCATCAGCCGTTGTTCGATAAATCTTGCTCACCGACTTTGATGAAAAGACAGTTTTGAGAAAAAAGCATTTAAAATTTTTCGGCCCATCCCCGTTTACGTGCTCACTTTTCAAAGCGGCTTTACAAACATATTACAAGTATAACTTTGAAAATATTTGTCCAATTGACATTAAATTATCTGTGAATATACTGAAATATATGTATGTACATTACAAAAAAAAATATTTTTTTTTAAACTCTCACCATTGAATTTAAAAACTCTGTTATATCATAATGTATCACTAAAAAATTAAAAATTATGTACTTGTGACTTATGAGGTAACCGACCTCGATAATCCAAGAAAAATAACCTGCTATTATTTTTTCTAGTAGGTTAATAAACTCTTGCTCTTTCATTTTTCACTCAATTAATAATTTACAGTGTATGAATAAGGGTGATTCTACCGTAAGTGGTTCGTAATGACCCGAGAATTTCAAGTGTTGAGAAAACATATTAGTTATTATTATTTTATTTTATTTTAATTAAATTTAACAAAGCAATTTATTTTAATGAAGACATTTTTAAAGGCATTAAGATAATAATTGATGGGTTAATTATTAGTCGACTAACAGATTTGATCTGACCACATATCAATTTCCATTATACGATTTTTAGTAATAAGCTATTCATTGGAGATTAAACTTATCATTAAAACTAATATCGGCTCAATAAACCGGCACAATTAACGCAATATAATTTTACGCTATTATTGCTGTATTTCGTCAATACTATTGACTTCATTTTCACGATACGAGCAAGCCCTGTAAACAAATTATACAGATTATAAAATTCTAAAGGCCAGTAGATACAACCATTAATATTAATAAACAGATATAGCTTCCCATAAACAACATTTCATATGCTGTAAGCTATGTATTGTTACACGATAATAAACATTTAATTTCAAACATATTTTCATGAATCTGAATATTCATTCCATTGTTATCCATCAACATAAACATATTCGCTTTATTCGTCAGAAATAATGAATATTTCGATATGTATGATAACGACAAATATCAAATTTTCAATTTTACAATTAATAATCAACTTTCAATAGTATACACTGAAAGAAAAAATTTATTTTGGAAAAAATGACCACTGTTGTAATGACAAATTAATTTGTTTAAAATTTTAAATAATTTTATTTCTTAACTAAAGAAATAACAATTTTTCTCACAGTAACTTTCTTGTTGAGAAAAAGTTTTTTAGATTAAGAAAAAAAAACAATTTTGAATGAAAATTCACAAGTTGTCTATTCAAAATTATTTTTTTCCAAATCAAAAAAAATTTTTTTCAACAAGAAAGTTACGACGAAAAAAATTTTAATTTCTTCAGCTAAAAAATAAAATTTTAAACAAATTAATTTTTTGTCTAAATTACAAAATTGTTAAATTTCGATACTTATTATATTTCACAAGGATAAAATAGACAGGTTACGAAAACCCGCTTGGAGCTATCGGATTATAGACACAATATCTTTCAATATTGTTATTATTATCATTATTAGAACTATTATTATGATTAACAAAACCATTATCGTTTATTTGGTTGAAAATGAGAACTGTTCTCGAAATTTCAAATTACTGGCGCCAGGTGACTGAAAACATTACGCTGCTGAGCAGTAATAATGCAATGAATATAAACCAATTATTTCAAATATTATTATTATTATTATTATTATTATCGAAATGATTCAAATGAACAGATAAATTCCGAATAATTTTGATAGTTAATAAAGTAATTGGACTAATTTAATAAAGATGAATAGAATTTAAAAAATAAATTGTGACGGTATTTAACTTAAGTAAATTACGGATGCGGTATTATATGTAATTCAATTTTGATGAGTACTTTGATCTTCTACTTCAATTGATGATAAAACATTGCTTTGATACTTTGACATCCAACCACTCGAGAGATATTGTAATATTATCTATATTGTTATTTTATTCGTTGGTTTATTAAACGAGTATGCAATGAATTTCATAGTGTGATTATTTTCATTAATGGGTTCTTTTGATTTGACGCTCTGATTGTTGAGCATTTTTTAAGTTTTATTTTTTTGGAAAGATGTTTTTAACTGAAAATTTAACTGTATACTCTTGAAATCTATATAAATAAATGGTAAAAAGTTCAAAGTTCTATTTCTTCATTGGTCTTTTCAAAAAAATACTCAAAAATCAGGGCGTCAAACCAGAAGACCCCCTTAACATGAGAAATGAAAATTAACAAAAAAATATTAATAATAATAATCACTGAGAAATGAAAAAAACTGAGATTTGTTTTAAAAAGCTTCAGCTTTTTACAAATTTCCAATTTAATTTGAATATATATGTTTGACAAGGCTTTGAGAATGATTTATTTATAAACCCTAGCACAAAGAAGGGCTGCTTCAGACAGAAAGTGTATGACAAGTAAACGAAAATGAAAAAAGTTCTAGGCTGCTGATTGGTTGAATTAAAAAAAAAATAATAATGTAAAAATCATTTATCCATAAATTCAGTTGACTTGATACGTATCGACTTTCCGTCTCGCAGCAACTCAATAATTTGACAACTGAAACGTTTTCAAACACTGGGAATTGATGAAATACATGTCCGTTACATTGATACTACCTCTAAGGCATCGTGCGTTTGAAACAATATTGTTTCATGAATTTTTGCTATCTAAAATTACGTTAAAATTTACTTTACTACAATCAACAGACATCTGACCATTCTTGGATTTTTTTTAAACAAATAAGTTACTGGTGAGAAATTACAATGAAAATTTATATGACAGATTATATAGGTCTAAAAAATTATTTTAAAAAAATTACATTTATAATTTTTTAGCTTCCAAGGATATAATTTTTTATGAAAATGAAATTAGCAGTTATCTGGAAATTTTTTTTCTCATTAAAAATTTATTGCAAAAAAAAAAAAAAAAAATAAAAATTCCACATGTAGAAAATTTGAGAATTTTTTTAGTTTTTTCTAGAATTTTTCTAGTTTAATTTAATTAATAATAAAAATCAAAAATTTTTAAATTTCTGTTGATTTTGGTGTTATAATTTTTTTTGCCATAATTTAATTGTTGAAAAAATTCTAAAAGTTATCAGATGTCTCTCAATTGCATCATAATTTTTTTCAAATTTTATTTTTAATAATTTATTAATTAAATATATACCAATATTTACTTTTTGCTTATACTCACCAAACAATCATCATTCCAAATTATCAGAAACTTGTCAATAATTTCTTCTGATCTCCGTATACATTTATAATTTAGTTTTTGTTTTTTTTTTTTAATAACAATCATAATTTTATTTTTTCACTTATCAAATAATTACCGTCCAAAACTTTTTTCATCATTCCCCGTCATTATTGTTATTAGATGAAAATTAAGTTAGCCGACATCTAAAAATTTTTATAATTTTTTTTTGTTGAAAAAATTATTATAAAAAATAAGAAAAGAAAATTTCATTTGTAAAAAACTTGAAAATCTCTCAGTGTAATTTTGAAAAAATATTTTTTTGTTCCAATTTAATAAACGAAAAAAAATAACAAAATTAGAAACGTCGACTAACTTTAGTATTATCATTATCAGTTCTCTTTTTTCGCTATATAATAACACTATTGTCTTTAAAAAATAAAAGAAAGTACAGCTGGCGCCACCACTCGCCACATCATATTGACACCAGCAGGCTTACTCATTAGTTCATTTGTGGTTATATTATTATTTCACATCACAACACATCTGAAAAATAAAATAAAGTGATTAATAAAAAGTAATAATAAATTTTCTCAATAATCAAGTGCTGTTATATTTATTATTATCATTTTCATTGTTGTTTCTTTCGTAGATATTATTCTTGCCATTAATAATTATTTATTACCATGAGCAATAACTTGGAGTACTGCTTAAGTATGCTGGAAGAAAATGACATTAAAATTCAACAAAGTGCGTTAAAAATTTTATGTGAGCTCTGTGATAATATTATAAAATATCCCGAAGAAGATAAATACCGAAGAATACGAATAGGTAATCCCTCCATAACTGATAAACTGCTACCAGCATCCGGAGCTATTGAATGTTTATTCGAGCTCGGTTTTATAGAGGTAATTTATTTATTTACTACGCACTTTTTTATCTTTATTTTATCATTCATTCCTATCTTCATTTCCTTGCAAACATTCACGTTTTTTTTTTTCTTTTTTTTTTTTTTCTTTTTTTTTTTTTTTATTAATGTATCATTTTTTTCACCGCTGGATCGGGTTTGAAATCATCTGTCGCATTCGATGAAATAACTTAGAGTAACCTGTCAACAGATTAAAGTTTTATCTGTTTTTTTAAAAGTTACAGTGGAGTCTCTAGATACCGAGGACGTTAAATTTTAAAATTGACCCAGATACTTTTTGGAATTAATAAGTTTATACGCTGCAAGTTATTTTTTTACTCCGCCAGTTACTTTTGATGTAAAAGTAAAGAGGGAGAGAGTATTTTAAATAATTTAATTATCCAATTATCGAAAAAAAATTCTTTTCAAACAAAATTGATACTCGACTAATTGATATAAATATTTTTTTAAATATAAAAAATGCTTGAAATTTTTCATGCATTTTTAATTTAAAAAATTCGACCGTATATTTTGAGTATTTATTTATTTAACGCTTATCGGCAATATACATCTATATACCTACAATTTTTTTTATATTTAGTTATATATTAATATTTAATATTATTATTAGGAAAATTTATTGGAAGTATTTTTTAATTTACAAATTTTCTTTTATACGTCTTTGACAATTTAATAAAATATTTTTCTAATGACAAAGAATATTCAATTATTAATAAAAATATTCATAAAGGTAAAAAATACTTCATTGCTTAGTCGTATTTTATTTTTCATTTATTTATTTAATAATTTAGTTATTAAAAAATAATTGTAATATTTAATTTTAAAATTCTTATTTAAAAGCAAACTTTTAATAATTTAGTTTTCTATCAATAAATAAAAAACAAAAAAGTTTTCTTACATAGACGATAAAGGAATCACATTTTCTCACTCCTAAAATTTTGCAGATGTCAGAAAAGCATGTCATCGTATTTTTCTCTCCGGCCAACCGTAATCGAAAAAGTTAAAGTAAACTTTTGTCGAAATACTTTTGAAACGGCATTTGAAAACAATTAATTTTATTGATTATTATTATTCTAAAAATGTTTTTTTTACTATGTAAATCTTAATACGATTTCTTCTTATGCTCTACTATAGACATAAAAATGCAGAAAGAGCTAAAAGTCATCAAGCTTGTTGATGAATGCGAATGGCAACCTTGTAAATATTAATAATGTAGATCTTTTTTGTTGTTTATTATTCCTTTCAAATTTCACATGTCTATATTTCGTATTCTCTTTCAATGGCTGTTATACTCTCAAGAAGCATATGATAAACGAAAAACTGAATTAATTATTTTCTGCTTACTCCAGATCTTAAATTAGGTTAAAAAAATTCTTGTTTTTTTCAAGAGTATTGTTAAAGTAAAATTAATATCAATGATTTCTCGTTGATCATTATAAAAATTTATTTTTTGAACTTTCACAAAGAAAATAATAATAATAATTAAAAATGTTAAAAGTAAAAAAGGCAACAGTATTTTCTATAATAATGAGACTAGTAAATATTAAAATATGAAGAGACTTGAGAAAATATTTAATTGATTAAAGTATCTTCAAGATACTTACAACGTCAAAGAATTTTTACTCAAATATTTTACCAGTCGACTTATACATTAGTCGCTTTTTGCGAACTTGAGCACAAGATCATGAAGAAATATTATTTCTTATTTAAAAGTACAATCTTCTGAAAAAGAAACCAAACTTTGAACTTGTAATATCGGCTCAACAGAAAAAACACTAATGCAAGAAAAAAGTTGTTGCAATACTACCAGAAAAAAACTTTGCACCATGAGACTAATAAAAAATATAAAAAAAAAAAAATATAAATTAATCAGGTTCGAGCACCAACAGTTTAATTAGATTGATTAATATACACAGTAGATAAACAACCACAATTTAACGGCAAAAAAAGGAAACAAACAAAATAAATATTTATCGGCTAAACAAAGAGATGAATCTTCGTTATTTAAGCTTCAATTACAAATTATATTCAGCTGATAGTTCGCGGCAAACAAAATTATTCCCTTGCTATAAAATTAAAAGCCAATTTTTCTGGTATTCATTTTGATGATAATACTTTCCAAAACAATCAACGTCTCTATTATACTCAAATGCATAGTGATTATTATAAAAAGCTATGTTCCACTGGCTGACCAATAAAATAGTGTTCTGATTTGAAAATTAACTTATAGAAAATTATTCTGTTTGTTAAACTTTTGACAAACTTCAACTTCATGTGATTTTTACTTGAAAAATCTTCATTCTTAGTAATAATAAATTATGTACTTAAGAATTTTATCAAAAAACCAAAAAAATAATTTAAGAAAACATGAATAGCGTTAATAATTTTATTAACTGAAAATTCCTTATTATAATCAATACCGAGATAGTATTTCCAATATTTATAGTTAATTCACCGAACAGCACATTACGATAAAAATAACTTTATCGAAGTATTTAATTACGAATACCAGGGATAATTAATCTATAAGTTATCTGATGAAAGAGAGTTTTCATCTGGAAACAAAGAAAATCAACAACAATAACCATTGAAGCATTGAATAGAGCGTTCAAGCAGAGTTCGGATGCTACGGAAATTCACATTCGAACTTTATTTTAATTCCTTTCTATATGAAATATCGTTGAAACTGAGAGAAACAGCAGCAATAGCATTGGTATCTAAAAAGTATTCACTTTAAAATACAAATACAAATACCGTAGAAAAAAAGTATTCAAATGCGTGCTAAATGCGCGCTGGCACAAATATTCAAAATAGTAGGTTAAACCCCTGGAGCGTTTTGCAAATACTTTTTACAAGACTGTTAATAGGTTTTTTGCTATCGCTTTGAAGCTTTTAGCTCCCGTGCCTGTTTAGCCAATTCCAAACCGACATCAATCAGGAAGAAACTTATCAATTAGTGTAATCCGAGCGAAACTTGATCACTGTGCAGATTTCATGTGATGCCAAGCTTGTTGTCAGAATTGCCCGTGTTTTTAGAACTCAAAGTATACTTGTGTCTGCTTCTAATCGTTTTAAAGCAATGTTTTGTTATCGTATATATTAATGCGATAAGCTTGGGATGTTTGCATCCCTTTTTAGGAGAAATAACAAACTTAATTTTCATTTAGCTGATTAAGTTCATTTATTATTTATTACTATTGTTTTAGCACAATATTTAATTTAGAGAATTATATCTATAGATATACAATAACAAATTATGAGATAATGTTGACGCCTGATAGCAATCTTTATTAGTTATTTCTTCTATATATGCGTGTGTTTGTTACTGAACTCCTCCTAAACGGCTGGACCAATTTTAATGAAATTTTTTGTGTGTCTTGAGATGGATTCGAGAATAGTTAAGACTCATAATTCAGTCCACAGAAAAATTTTTATTTAATTAATTTTTTATTTTGAAACTGTTGTTGATTTTGGAATGTTTTACATTGGATCCGGCAGACAGCGAATCGATCGCAGTATCGAATATTTTCCAAAATATTTAATTTTAATTTCAGTGTGACCCGATAGTGGGCGCTGCGATCACATTCAAGAAAATTTTGTGTTATTGTGATAAAATCAATCTCGTGCTAATTAATATCCTAACATTGTAATAACGTTCTAACAATCATTTTTATTGAAACGGTGCAAACTGTAATAGCTTATTCAAATAAGCTTAAAATTTTTTAATTTAAGACGTGTGTACAGGATAACGTCTGTAATAAATATAAATACAGTCATAGATTATCACGTTATGAAAAATAAGCAAAAATTGAAAAAAAAAATTTTTTCTATTGATACAAATAAATAAAAATCAAAAAAATACCACTTGGAAAAAAGTTGAGGATTTTTAGAAAATTTCAAAGTTTAATATAATTTTAAAAAAAATCAAAGATAGTAATCATTGAGAAATTATTAATTTTTTTTTTCAAAAATCTAAAAAATATCAATGAAGATAAGTTTGAATAATTTTTGTTAAAGCCCATTTAAAAATAACAATAAAAAAAAAAAGACCATTCGGCAGTCGAAATGGAAGTAGATTTCATCATAAATAGAAAAAAATAATGAATTTCTAGAGTCGAAATGGAAGTAGATTTTATCATAAATAGAAAAAAATAATGGATTTCTAGTAAACCGGCGATTAAAACCTTATTTCACCCTAACTCGTTATTTGTTTACATACTGCTGGTGTACAGTAAAGAAAAAAAAAACAAAAAAAACGAGTGCAATAGCAAATTTCATAATTGGCATAGCGAAATAGGACATAATTTTAGGACTACACATATGATATGGTACTCAAATTGAAGCTTATTTAAAGAGCTTTCAGATGCAAATTACAGAAATTTGATAAATTATCCCATTCAAAAGTTATTGAAGGACGAAAATGGAGAAATGTTAATTTTTATGATTTTGAAAATTTTGAAATCATGGCATTTCTAAATTACTTGACCGATTAAGCTCATCTTCGAACTTGACCTCGGTATCTATCTGTAGAATAAGTATGTTGAGTTTGATAAAGATCCATTGTAAATTGGCGACGCTATCGTGGTGACAAGCAGCGTTATATCGTATATATATATATATAAATATATATATATATATATATATACACACATATATAAACTTTTGAACCATATGTATTTTCTGACTCAGCTCGTCGAGTTATGTCGGAATATAGCAAAATTTTTCAAAAGTTTTGTCATGAGGACCATTGCAATAGTTAGATTTCTATGAAATCTACTAAAAACGACCCAATAAGTTGAATTAATTAAAAAAAATTATAACTATTTGAAAAAAGCCATTTTTTAAATTTAGAACTTTTTTTACGTTGAGTAAAAACATTTTTAACCAATGTAGAAGGAGATGGGGTCAAAAGTAGTTGATTTGGCGTGGAATATCCTTTACACACCGTTCGAAATATTTTTTCTTGCTCTCCTAGCCGAAAGTACGCTCATCCTGGACGCACTATACTCCAGGAAGAGCAACATTTTGACAGCTATAGTAAAGTGATTTGTTTATAAAACAATCCATGTACTCTACAAGCTTCTAATAATTTAATTTCAATCTTTCTTAGTTGTCTAATTAAAAACTAATTTTTAATCAACTTAAAAAAATTAATTTTGTTATTAAATCGAGTTTAAATATTTGTGACAAGTTCTGTGCATGTTATCTCTCTTGATCAGAGCGTTTGTTAGTAAACTTTAAAATAACTTATTTTTTTTTATTTATTAATTTTTACTTTTTTATTATGCCCGCCCCGACCAGTAAAACCTCGGCTTCGCCTCGGCTTTACAAAAGTCGGGCGGTGCCCTCCTCACCCCCGGCAAAACCTCGGCTTCGCCTTGGTTTTGCAAAACCCCTTCCCCGGAGTTGCGTACTTTCGGCTGGAGAGCAAGAAAAATAGTATACAACCCATGACCAAAATGTTGGATGCCCTGACGTATGTGATATGATAGCCTCGGCCATCATATCACATACGCCAGGAAATCCAACTTTCTGGCCTTGGGTCGTAATATACTAATTATTTCATCAATAAATTGTAAAAAACAAAAAAATTGCAAACTAATGACTCGTGAAGTTATTAACTTGCTGATTGGATTCATATTCTTTTGTTGAATTTTGAGCGCACGTTTTAACGAGGCTATCAATGCTTGTTTTAATTAGCTGAGTACGTTTTCATGGGATTATGATAGAGTCAAATACTCAAAGAAAGGCCATTGAAATTTATAATATAAAATAAAGATATTATATCTCTCTGAATAAATGAAAATTCCCTAAATTTACTGCAGAGTCGAGAATATCTTCATTTAGGAAGTAATGTAGAATCTACTTCCATTTCGGCTGTCGAGCGACCCTTAGTAATTAATAAAGCATTGTATGCATTAATGCTGTTTCCTACTTGCGTCTCTTATATTAAAGATTCAGTCTGAATAATGAGCTTTTAGAATTTTATAAAAAATACATTAAATGATATATCTTTCTCTTGAAAAAATTCTAATTTTTAGTTGATTTTAAAAATAAAATGACAATTGTCTTCGTGAGCTTTTGAAAAATTTTGCTATTTTTCAGCGCAGCTAGAAAATAGTTAATTAAATAATCTATCGAGTAGTAGAGCGTTCTTTGCAAAACTTTTCTTTGCTGAGGAAAAATTCATGAAGCTGTAATAGCTTGGAACGCCTCTTAATATAACTCAACATACTTATGCTACTCATTTGGAAATTATCCAGGTCAAGTTCGAAGATAAGCTAGATCAGTCTAATAGTTCAAGTATCACAGGAATTCAAAATTTAAAAAAATACACTAACCCATTTTCGCTAATTCTTTTTGAAATAACTTCTAAAACGCGGTAAGTTAATTAATTTCTGTAAAATTCATCTAAAAGCTCATTAAGTAATTTTGCATTTCTACGTCTAATTATTTTTATAGTCTAAAAGACACTTTTTTATCCATTTGATATTTTACTATTGCATTCCTTTTAACGTTTCTAAAAATTTTTGGTAGCACTGAGATTTACATCCATTTCGGATGCTGAATGCCTTTTTATTAATATTGAACTCAACTTCACTCGCACTCTATCCGTCATTTTGGCTCATTCGAAGTTATTTACTCGAAATCAACTGGGAAATTTTTTGAAGAAGGACGTTATACGCTTCTGGCGTCTCTTTTCAAACCTTTCGTCAAATCGATAGAGACAAAAAAAAAAAATAATAAAATTTTTTATAAACCGATCTTATATTCACATCTCACGGAATTATTTATAAATAAATTTAATCCCACGAATATATTATCTATTATTTTTGAAAATATATCACTCCTATCATTTTTCTCTTCCTGTCAACAAAATATTTAAAGTGGTCCCAGATGCTTCCACCCTATGTATTTGAATTTATAAATTTACTTCATTACACAATATTGCGATGATGAATTTTCCAATAATACCGTCATAAATTATTGATGATAAATTTATTTAAAAATTTATAAAAAATAAATTTATATTTGATTTTCAACGTCAATTTTAATTTTTAAGTGAGAATAAATCATATCCGTCCTCAAGACATACAATTTCATAAATTATGTGGTTATATTTAATTAGGCGTTATGGTATATTCGTAATTATTATTATTATTATTATAATTGTTATGTTACATTTTAAATAAAATATCTTTATTATTACTAACATTATGTACGCGAAATTTCAGTATGTGTTTTCACATTTAGTTTAATGAAGCATTGTTAAAATTTATGTAAAGAGTTGTGAATTATTGTTATTAAGGGCTCAAAAATATTGCATGGAAATCACTCCAATCTTAATTAAATAAAATTGTAGAGAAACATTATTTGATGTATTTTGATAACGGTAATTTGTTTTACAACCAAAGTTCATTTTCCATTGATATTTACTTGGGTCTGAGTGCAACATACTTTCTCACTTACTCTTATGTTCTATTATTCATCTATGTGTTTGTGTATACGTAAGCGCATTTACGCATAGACAAAGACATAAATATGTACTCGAATCTAACATTTCTTACGTTTCCTTGAATTTAATTATTTATTTGTAAAAATATTTCTGTTTTGTCGTTTTATAATTTTGTTGTATTATTTTAGAATTTAATTGTTTAATATTTGTTTATTTTTAATTATTTAACTTTCAAGTTCTATTTTTTTATTTCTTTTTCATTTCATATTTAATTTTGTTGTCTAAAAATTATTTCGGAAAGTGCAATATTAAAATTTATTTCAATATTTTTCTCAACACTAAAATTTTGTCATTAAGTTATTCTAAAATCTTTCGGTTTAAAATAAATCTTTTATCTTGTTCTTTATCATTACTTAAGTATTTCTTATTTTAAGTATAAGTGAGTTTGCTTACGTATAACAAAACTCCCATTTATCTATTTAATCTCTTTAAAATACCTGGGCCCTCAGACTAATTACGGGAATTTCCCTGGGCCTTTTGCAAAGATCCAACGAGACACTTAATGACCACACTCGAATTATCTTTTACAATCGTTAAAATTTAAATAAAATTATACTCGATTTTTTATAATTAATAACAATGTAAAGAAAAATTTCTTTACATAACAAGAGCTATTACACATCTCATTTAAAATGCCTAATTTTGCCACTATCACCTTTGAGCACTTCTTTGTTGTATCAGGTATCCGTTCATGCCAGGAGTTGCCAATTGATATCATCAAATTATATTATATAATGTAACGCGTCGCTTCATATAGAAAACTGAAAAAATTACAATTTTAGATTGTAATTATTACAGATTTTGAAGAATTACATGTCAAATGTAAATATTACATTGAAAGCTCTGAAAATTAACATTTAAAGTTTGAATTTACAAAAATGTTATTTTGAACTGCAATTTTTCTATTTTTTTTACTATATATGAAGCCTCGCTTATTATTATTTATAATATAATTTTTACATTTTTCTTTTTTGCGAGAATTCCATTAAATTTTTCTTGAATCTGAAAGTTATTAATAGTTGAGCTTGCAAGCTTGTTTATTTTAGTTTGTTAATGATTTTACTATACAGCTATTAGATGACAATGTTATGGTATATTTTATATTATTGCCACCCGGCTTGAGCCCTGGATTATAAATTTAATAAATGAATAAATATTTACAATCTGCTCGATTTGAATATCAAAAAAATCAATTTGTTTAATAAATAATCAGTAACAGATTTTCATAAATAAAATTTGATGAAATAAAGTTACAATATGTCACAAGTACATGTCATGTATTTTTTTGTTTTTATTTATTTTGCTTTCTATATGCTGAAAAAAAAAAAAAAGTATAAGTGCGAACGGAAATATGAATGAAACAAATAAAAGCACCGGAGATGAGTGTAGTATTGTACTTTTTTGTTTCTTTTATTACTAAGTTTATAAGAGGGCTAATGTTATTCCTCGAGCGTTAAGGAAAATTAAATTTTTGTTTATTCTATCTCTACTCGTAAATTAATTGTTATAGTTGCTATGAATGATCATTATTATGACACACTACAATGGTTTATTGTTATTGTGATATTTGTAAAAACTTTTTATGCTTCCGAAGGCATATTTTTAAAATGGACTCAAGTATAGATAGAAACAAAATTTTATAAAAAAAATTGTAACTTTACTATCAACGATAAAAGAAATTCATTAAAAATAATTAGTTTGATTTGTAATTAAATAAAAACTTGTTAAGAATAATAAAATTCATTATTTTTAGGATGGAGAATTTTTTTCTTTACCAAAAAATTCGCCATTATCTCAACTGCAAAGAGGCCAAAAGTTACTCTGGGAATTACGTAATAAAGTGATGTCTGGTACAAAAGGCTCAACTAGCACAAGCGGCAGTTCTCCAGCATCAAAATCAACTGGTGCTAAGCCAAAGGATTTAAAGCAATCAAACAATTTTCTGCAAACAATTACTAGCACTTTTCAGGAAGCGCTGCGATATGAAAACAAAGAGCTTCAAGAGTACACAAAGCATTTTGTTCCCATCGATCGATTACAACTTGAAGCTATCAAGAAAATGAGAGCTTTCCAGCAGCAGCAGCAGCAGCAGCAGCAGCAGCAGAAGAGAAAAAAAAATCCCCTTGGTAACTCACAGTCCGAGGATCAAATAAATAAAAATAATTCTATAGAGTGTGAACCAACGATTGAAGACTTGCTGCTAAGTGAGTTGGTCCATTGGTTCAAAAACGAGTTTTTCTCTTGGATGAATAGCCCAACCTGTAGATTTTGCTCAGACGCTTGCCAATTCAACAGAAATGAATTCAGAAATGATCCTCGAGTCTCGAGAGTTGAAATACACAAGTACGTTTTCATTTTTGAATAATAAACTTACAAATGTTGAGACCAGTCGAGGTGTGATGTCTTTGTCGCGTTTTTCTTTCGTTTTTTTTTTTTTTAATAAAAATAAATTACAAGTACAGTGAAGAAATTTGTTTTATATTTTAATAAAAGAGTGGATTTATCATTTTATTATATGTGAAGAAAATATGCACAGTATAACTCTTCTATCCTTGAAGAAAAACTCTGGTTTATTCGATATGATTCGCGTGAAATTGAAGGTGTTATATAGCGTACGTAACTCTTTTATCTCCACACATAAAGGATTTTACTGGTTTGTTCTAGGCTATATATTATATTGGTAAAACAAAAGAAGATCATTTATCTACTCCTTGTATTACTTATAACTTATCGTAATCTGCAGGTATATTGAATGGCATTAAGAAAAAATTGAAAACACTTACAGTACATTGAATAAATAAGTACTTGGTTGAAAATAAATATTGTTAATTTAAGAAAAAAATTATTTTAAAGAAAAATCTGTGTTTTGATTCAAAAATTTATCGTCTTAAAACTCGTTTTCTTGGCTTGGATTCTATTTCAGTTTTTAGTTCGTTAAGATACCGCTAGATGGCTAGGTGACGTGAACGCGCTCGCTTTTGGAGTTGTAATGCTTGGAAAAATTAGAAATTTTTTACCTACTATTGGGAATATTTAGTTGCAATTTTTTGACATTAAGAATTTTTAATCTTCAAAAAAATTTAATTGAAGTTTTATACACTGAAAAAAACTAATTGATTTTTATATTTTTGGTTCAACAAGTTTTTTTATTCAAAATATAAAAAAAAAAACTTGAAAAAAAAGAAAGGAAATATTTGACTTGAATTTATTCTAAAAAGTATTTGAGATTTATTTTTGATGATATATAGACAATAATTTTTTGGTAAAAAATTATTATTAAAAAAATTAATCTTCATTTTTCTAAATTTTCAGATGTAAATCCTGCGAAGCAGAGGAAGAATTTCCACGATACACAGATCCGAAAATTCTGCTGACAACTCGGAAAGGCCGGTGTGGAGAGTGGGCGAATGCCTTCACATTAATTTGCCGATCCTTGGGTTATGACACACGGATAGTTTACGACAAGACGGATCACGTATGGTCGGAGGTCTGGTCGATGTCCGAAAATCGCTGGATCCACGTAGATCCTTGCGAGGATGTCCTGGACAAACCTTTGCTTTATGAGCGAGGCTGGAAGAAGAAACTGTCCTATATTATCGCGTACTCCAGGGATGAGGTGCAGGATGTTACCTGGCGGTACACGAGGGACCCGGACGTGATGAAGCGAAGGATTCTTACAAGTGAGAGCAGTCTTTTATCTTTGATTTTAAGGCTGAACGAAGAGAGGTTCCGATCCTCGGGTCCGGAGTACAGTGAGGCGAGGAAGAAGTTTGTTGTTAAGAGACGATTAATGGAACTCGCTGAGTTATTGCCCGCTCCACCGGGCACCGTTAAACTGGGGGATGGCAATAATGATAATAATGAATATGGGGGAAGAGTTTCCGGTGATGTAGCTTGGCGATTAGCACGCGGTGAATTATCGGTAATTATGTTGTGATATTTATTTTTATCATTTATAATAATAATAATATAATTTATTTAGCCCTCGACTATTTTAAAAACATATTTACAATACATACATTGACAATTTCTATCTGTTTAGAATAATATTTTCCATTCTTATTTGTCAGTAATTATTTTTAACACAGTCTTTTAAACATCTTCTAAAGTATTTAAGTCTATTTTCACTCCTTATATCTTCTGGAAGAGTATTGTACTAATTATATCCTGTATATGTTATGCATTTCTCAGCTGTACGTGTTTTTGTGTTTTTTATTGCTATTGATGATCCGGTTCTTGTATTATATTCTTATATTCTAGTTTCTTATTAAAAATTAATTTATGTATAAACATACAGCTATTGAAAATTATTCTTTGTTTAATACTCATCCATTCTAAGATTTCAAGCATGTCACTTATTTTAGTATATCTATTGACTCCTAAAACTAATCTCATGGCTCTATTTTGGACTTTTTGTAGTTTGTCAATATCACCGAAAGAATAATTAATCATAATAGTACTCGCGTACTCAATATAAGGTGCTATCATAGTTTTATATATCATATTTTTTGCATAACAGTTAACAGAATTTCCTAGACGATACATAATATTTAATTTTTTATCACTTCTGACGCATTATCGTTAAAAGTTGAATTTTCATCTATAATAATAATACCTAGATATTTAATTTTTTGTACTTTAATTTTATAATCATTTAACTTAATATCACAGTATCCTCTCTTACAAAATTCTTTTTCCTATCATGAATTAACATAAAAACGGTTTTCTTAAGATTAATTTTCATTTGGTTTCTTATTAACCATTTTGATAATATTGGCAGGGTGCGAAGTATATGGTGGGGAGGGCTGGCGCTGACTACCACTTTTACGTGTAAATCGTATGAGAAGAGCATGATTTAACGCTAATGGCGACCACTGGAACTAAATTACTCCGTTTTATTTAACACAGAAAAAGTATGAAAATTGAGGGCAGGACCATCGTGCACCTGGCCAATAGATAGATTTACATTTAGTTTATTTTCAATTTCTTCTAAGTTTTTACTCGCAAAATAAATTTTTGTATCGTCGGCAAATAATCTACAAGTGACACCTAAATTTTTCATTAAACGCATCATGTCATATTATACGACAATATTATTATTATTATTATTATTATTTTGTACGTAAATATTTAATATTTAAAATCCAAATTATTTAATGAAAAAACATAAATTTACGTCAAGACCTTTCTGATAATACCAAATTTAACTATTAAAATTCCTTTCTAAATAAAAAAAAAATGCCCGTCACAAAATTTGACCTAATTTTTCTTAATTATAGTGATTAATATTTGAGATAAAACGACAATCATTTGTAAAAAACAAAAATTTTATTCAGGGCAAAATTTTAATCTACTTATAGCTACTCCAAAAACTCATTATAATAAATTAACCACTACTGAAAAGGGTTTGAAACGTTGAAAAGGCACAAATGCTGATCAAGAACTTTTTAATGATACGAAATTTAACTAAAGAAACAACCCATTTTATCACATAAATACGTCGGAGCCAAAATTTTTCTAACTTTCTGAATTAGATTAATTAATAAAAATAATAAATTATTTTTTCAGGAAACACATGAACCGTACGTATGGAAAATGTCATCATCAGAATCGAAAAAATTCATACTAAAGTACATAATAACAAAAGATATTTATCAGATATGCGACGAGACTGACAAAATAATAAACACAAAAGAAGGCTGGAGCAGCGGTGTAAATAAATGTGAAGGCGGTATATTCCGTAACACCGAGCGCGATTGGAAAATGGTGTATTTAGCGCGATCGTCCGGCAATGAAATTGGAAAAGTTACATGGAGCATTGAGCTGCCGAACGAAGTTGACATAGAACTGTTTGAGTTACGTGCTGCTGTCGCTACCTTTAACAATGCCAATATCCACTGGACTATTGAGGGTATAAATAATGATAATGTTATCGTGTTACCCGTCGATGACTGTAAATATTATAAAACAAATCAACTGCAAGCACGTAAAATAAACGTGACTGTGAAATTATTAGGAGGTACAGGTGACGTTTCATGGCAACATGCTCAACTTTTCCGGCAAAGCATCGATGCTGCTGAAGATTATTCTCTGCAAATATGTATAACATTAAAACATACCACGTGAATCTAAGTTCGCGATTATTGATATTCAAATTTCCCAGGAATAGTGTTTATTATTATTATTATTATTATTAATTATTAAATTACTTTTTAGGGATTTATAATGCATTTTTCTTTTAAAGAATGTTTAAAAAATTTATAATAGTTTATTTGTAAAAAATTTTAAACAAATTTATCATTGTTTACATTTTTTGACACATATTTTGTAATAAAATAACAAATATGTTAATAAAGAAATTTTATTTTATTATTTAACTATTACTCACACTTGTGTAATGACTGTTAATTACCGCTTCAACGAGTGATTAATTAAGCGATCGAAAACGGGTTATAATTACGATGATATAGTATTATTAATTATAACGGATCAATATTCATAATAACCTTCTTAATTAAGAAGCACAGTTCATAAATCGTATCAACAGTATCAAAATTTAAAAAGTTAACTATTTTATTATAGAAAAATAATAATTAAATTTTTACTTCCAGTAATTTAATTATGAATAATGATTTCTAATGATTTGATTTTTTATTTATAAAAAAATTTTTTTCATCGACTGCAAATGTAAGAAAGCTTTTAATTAATAAGTTTTTAGATATTCTTTATAAAAAAAAAAAAAAAAACACTCATAAGAACATCGAGGTCAAAAGTATGAGCAAGAACATTTTTTGTTCCGCCAACAGAGGAACTGACAAAAGGAAGAAATTGTAAAAAACACTAAACCAAAAAATAATTGAATTTTAAATAGTTAATTTGTATACAATTTAAATTTAAAAATTATCAAAATCAATGAACAATTAAGAGTGCAATCGAACCATTTTTAGGCAATGTGTAATACAATCGACTTATGTACGTCATTTTATCAAGAATTTCATTCAGTTAAATCTACCTTCGATTTCAAGTGTGGCCGAATGGCGTTTTTTCCATGTAACTTTACTTCTCGATAACTTTAAATCCATAACAAGTTTTTGAACGAAAAAACATGAAGTTATTTTTATGAAAAAGGCTTTGTCGATGGAACAATAAAAAAAAATAGTTTTTTTTTTTTTGCAGAGTTGTTCATAGAGAATGTACGATCCGCCAGAGTAGAAACAGACAGCGGTTGGCTCTCACCAAAGGAAAACCAGTCACGAGATTTTTAGCAAATATAGTTATACATTTAACAAAGACTGATATATGGGTGCAATTAATTTCATTTTAATTATAATTCATTTATTTCAAAGCTTAATGGATTAGTAAATCAATAGTTTGCACAAAAGTTACAATAGATTAACATCGTTACCGAGGTTAAAAAATCTAAAAAATCACAGCGGTGTGTCTGGTATTATATAACGTGATATGATAGTTAAAGCGGTATTAAAAATTTAATAACTTTTGTTTGATTTATTCACGTTTACTTAAATAACTAAAAGTGTATACTTGCCACCACTTGCCAAATATTTGATCACGTAGAACGGGGCATTAATTGAAGATTAAATTGCTAATTGCACGACGGTCCGTCTGTAATTAAAACTTTTTAGAGCTTTTAGGTACACAATGAGATTTTATATCGCGGTAAATGGTTAATGAGCGATTTTTAATTATTCCTCAACGCAATAAATTTAATTTCAATTTTGTTTGCATTATGATATTTATATGAACTGTCTGAGCATAATAAACTAACTGAACTATTGGCGCGTAGAAAATTTTACAGTGAAGTACGATAAAGAGAATTTCTTCTCAGAAACTAGGAGCTTTCAAAGTAATTGTTTACGCCAATAGAACTAAAGCGTGAAATTACAAAGCATTTCTTTGAGAAAGTTTGTTAGTATTTTTTTATTATAAAGAAAACTTAAAAGTTAATAAAAGAAAAGTTTTATTCAATAAAGACTGGTGTAAAAAAGATTAACTTTTGAAGGGATTTTTTGAGAAAATATGTAATTTAATCTTATAAGTTAAGTTAATTTTGTGTAAGTGACAGCCATATTTAAATGTTAACTTTTAAAGGTTGAGATGAAGAAGAAAAATTTCTTACCGACAAAATGGCGAAAATACAAAAGAAATTAGTTTCTTTAAAAATTAAATTCTCTTGCATTGATTATTTAATTTTAATTAATTAAAGAAGTTAACGATTTAAATCAAGAAAAAACAACTTGAGAGAAGAGAAAAATTTCATAATAATAAAGTTAGCCGACACTTTTGATTTTTTTATTTTGCTTCATTTATTAAATTATAACTAAAAAAATATTTTTAAAAAATTTGTAGTAAACTTATAGTTTTTGAAGTTTTTAACAAGTGAAATTTTTAAAAAAATTTTTTTGTAGTCATTTTTTTAATAAAAAAAAATTCTAAAAATTTTTAAATGTCCGCTAACTTAATTTTCATAAAAATTTCCCATTCAAGAATTCTACCAATTCAATCAACTTCTTTACTTTTCTCAAGCAAGATACGATGGATTTAATTTAAAAATTTATTTCTCTGGTGACATTTATTAAAGATATTACCGACTTATTTCAACAATACCAACAATTCTCCGGCTTCTGTTATTTTCTATTTCATCAAAAATAAGTTTCAAAATAAATTCAAGTCAAATTTTGTTTTCTTTATAAGAAAATTTTTTTTTGTATTTTAAATGAAGAAACTTCTTCTCGAATTAATAATATAAAATTGCTAAAAAAAGACAAATTATATTGTTAGTTTTAAAAAGTGATTATTTTCGATGTCGAATTTAATAATTGTATCTCACAAAAATAATACACTTAATCTTTAAATGTAGAATTTTTGGCATCAAGATATTTAATTCTCTTAAAAATAATTATTTTTTTGGATCGAGTAATTTTATTTTTTCAATGTAAAGAAGCAACAGCAATCTGAAATTATTAAATGAAAAGCTTTTATCATCAAAAATAAAGAAATCGATGTTATAAAAATAACATTTACCATCAAATATTGCTAAATAAATAAGAAAAAAAAACGGAAACAGAAACGGAAATTTTTTTTTAATATGACAACCGAATTGCCATGAAACCTTTCCGGGATGTAATTAAACCACTCAAATTTTAATATCGATTGGTGTCGTATTTATATTACTTTAACTCATATTTACATTTTCTCCAATAACTCGGCCAATGTAAATTTAAAAGCTTCCAATAAAAAGAGACTAAAAATATATGAAATCTACGCCCCAGCGAAGCGAACGTGGGTACGCGGAATCTCACATAAAACAGTAATTTAAAACTATCGACTCTGCATTTTTAAAATGAAAGCATTTTATTAAACAGTTAATTTTCATTGGAAGAAACTTTTCTTGCAAATACTTATAATCTAAACTAAGTTAAACGAGTTTTTAGTTTTTGCTGAAGAAATCGAATCTATATATTAATTCCAAAGCTCGCAATATTATTTAAAATAATATTTACTTTTTTCTGATGAAAGTAAATATCCGAATAAATATAATGTTTACGCTGGGTCATCAAAAAAGGTGCTGCAAAATGTAGAATTTATTATTATTTTCGCAGAATCGATATAAAAGACAATATATAAATGTTTCTCATCTACTTGAGCAGTTTTTCCGGAGTTTCACAAAAGAAAATTCACCTCTGGAACATAAAAAATAATCTCATGTATTCAGCTGTACACTTGAATTAAAATTATCCGTAGAAAGTTAAAAACTAGAAGCGCGCTAAATATTTCTGCATAAAAAAAAAATCTGTTTTCAAGTATTTTAATTGATCAAAGTTCTTCACAGGGTATAATTTATAAAAGTTATATGTTCGGTTATTAAATGCAGTATTAATGAAATCTGTCAGTTAATTCTCGATGGAATAAAAAGGAAAAATTGTACGATATAATTTTAAAGCAGTGATTTCCGACTACGCAAAACTTCTCTCGATTTGACCTACATTTGTTTTATTTTTTTTTAACGTGTTATTCAAGCTTCACGCCAACTACCTACCTGACGTTCCTAGCATTTACAAGTACATGAAATGTTAATTAATCACTGTAATTTTTTACATTTAAAATCTTTTTAATTAACCCTGTAAATTTTCTCGCTGGATTTTTTTCCAGACTTAAATTAGATCGGTATTTAGTCTAAAGTAAATTTACAAATTAAAACTAAAGCCGTTTGGATTAGACGAAGCGAATTCACCTGTGTACTTTTTATTTTTCACCTTTAACATACCGATGTACTAAAAGATAGAGTAAATTTTAATAAATCTTATTTTATATCTCTTCACTATCATTAAGAGTAATATTTACAGGTGGTATTTATTTTTAAAGTCACTTGATAAGATTAAAATTTAATTATTTACCTTTAATACTCATAATCATAACTAACGATTGATTCGGCGGAAAATCAATAAATTTCCGACTGAATTATTACTATGAACTTTTGCTTCTGTACTACAGCATTACACACCTTATCGAATTAGATAATGTACCTATCAATAACGTACCCGCATAATAGAAATCAGCTTATACAGAGCAAGCTTTCAAAGGTATATGAATAAACAATTCTACTTACCTATATTATTATGTATTAAAAAAAAACAATGTTCAGCTTATTAATTTTCATGAATTTGAAGTTTTCATCCGCTTAAATTTTCCACTCAAGTAATATTTAAATATTTTATATTTACAGTAAAATCTTTTACTAGTTTGATAAAGTCATACTTAACTTATATTTAAATTTAAAATAACTAGGTATGTAGATCTATACTCCAAACAGCAGTCACTTGATGTATTTACAGTGAGTAAATAATTGAATCGTTAGTAAACATTTCCCGCAGAATTAATTATTTATTCCTCTTATTTGATATCACAGAACTTTATATCCTTTTCCTGGGTTTACTTTATAAAAACACCGCAATAAAATCCTTTCATACTTTAATCATGGTTATATCTTTACAAGTTTCAAAGACATTTGATTTGCTTTTTCTTGGTGTTATAAATTCGGAGACCCTTGAAATTTTAACCGAATAGTTATTGTCTCGCATTAGTTTATATCTTCACCGGCTAACTTGTTGGTTTTCATTTCGTACTTAATCATCTAAGTTAAAACAAATCACAACTTACAACTAACTTGCGTTAATTCAATCAACCGGCATTTTGTCGAATGCTTATTTCTAATAAACAAGTTTAAGTTATGTATTTACTTCAAATTTAATCCGAATTCGAACACGTTTGTAAATATACAACACCAACTTTTGCAGACTACTAAATCAAATTTTTTTTACTATCAACTTATAGAACTTCTCTTCTTCCCTTACGCGTTTAATGTGTAGTTTGATCTTGAAATTATCGATTTGTATCGTAATACTATAGAAAAAATATGATTCTAGACTCTTTATTGTAGAAAATTACGGCGAATATGTAATGCGCAATTTTGATTTAGTTATTTTTCAGATGCGCTCTTCTAATTTTTGGCCACAAAAATAAAAAAAAAACTTATTTAACTTTTTTTTTTCTTCACGGTAAATTTATAAGTTTTAATTTAATAAATTATAAAAAACAATTTTTTACTCATTTTACAGTATTAAAATTGAAGAATATAGATTTCTTCCGTTTATCTTAAAAATTTTTAAGACATCAATTCTTTGATGTTTTTCAAATTTTTATAGTAAGTATAAAATAAATAAACTAAATATCTAAAAATACTGAAATTAACAAACATCTAGCTAAATTATTTCGAAAAAATTTGATTAAAAAATGTCACATGAAGAAATTGAAAAAAATTACAAGTGCAATTTTTGGAAATATTTTTTTTTTATCATAATTGATTTTTTTTTTAATTTTAAAAATTTGTCAAATGTCTACTGATTTCAGATCTTTAATTAAAATTAAAAAATTAACATTTTCTATAAATATTTACAAATATGTGAGATTTGATAAAAAAAAAAAAAAAATCATCCCCAAAATTGTTAATTTAAAAAAAAAACTTGTCATTTAATTGTATATAATTATAAATAGTTTTATAATTTTTTTCATCTTATAATACATGATTTGTAATTAATAACTAATAGCACAACAAATATCTTAAAAACAAGGATACAATTGATGAATTATTCACAGTTTGTATAATCACTAAAAGTAATTAATAATAACTTAAACAGAGTGGTAAACAGAATATTTAAAAATTTCCTGTACTAGAATAAACTAGTATCAATACTGGGTAATTAAATCACGAATTTCATTACAAAGCATGGCAAAGTCCGGTCTTAGGTGACTTTGCAGGTGCCAGCAAGGATACATAAGTTTTACGTAAACGATTTGTGGACAATTCTGAGGACACGGTAGTCGTGTACCACGTTCCAGCGCTGCTAACAACGCAGCACCACCTTCTTCTGCGCTATCTCCTCCTTGTTGACCACCGACACCAGGAAGCTTGGGGTCTTCTCCTAGCCCGAAAGTTTCGTACATCGTGACTCCAAAGGACCAAACATCAGATCTTGGAGAAAATTTGCCGTCTCGCAGGCTTTCGGGAGCGTACCATTTGATTGGCAGATCTCGATTGGTTTGTAGAATATAGTAATCATTGCTTCCTGTCACCTGAGCTAGACCGAAGTCGCTTATTTTTACAGTCGAGTCGTCAGATACCAGGATATTCCTAGCCGCTAAATCTCGGTGGACTATACTTTGCCGTCCGAGGTAATCCATTCCAGTGGAAATATTAAGTGCAATTTCAAGAAGTCGTTTGTGTGTCAGGTTTTCTCTATGAATTGCTAAGTAGCTCTGGAGAGATCCGTGCTTCACAAATTCCATAACGAGACAGACTTCTGGTTCTGATATTACACCGAGAATTTTAACGACATTCGGATGATTCAGTGTCTGAAATTTATTTTTTAAAATATTAAACTATCGTTAAAATTATTAAACTTAGATTTTCTATCCATATTTTTGATTGATGATTTGAAAATCAGATTTTTTTTTTCATGTTATTGGCATAACTCAAAACTTTTTTTTTTTTTAATTTATTCAATAGTATGTTATCTTTATCACTGTTATTTTTTTAACTAGTTTATTTTGAATTGTAATTAGTTAGTTTAACGTATTACTATACTTTCCATCCCAGGCAGTAAAGTAATACCATATTTTATTCATTATTGAACTAAACTTATAGAAAACAAAGATTAAGTATTTAATTTTCTTTATCAACTCTTTAATATGACAATCCTACTTAATACAGCTGTCTATAACTGTGCCTAAATATTTACAACTTGTTACTTTTTTTAGTTTTTTATTTTCTATATAAATTTCTGTCTCATTTGGTACACTATTTTTGTAACATCCAAAAGTTATATCCGTGATTTTTTCAATATTATAAGCGATGAAAAATTAAATTTCAATTGGAAACGTAACTAATTAGTTATAAGTTATAACGTAAAAAAGATTAAAAATTCTACAGATTTATATATTAGTCAAGAAGTCATAAAAATTTTTTATTACTAACTAAAAGCTTTGAAAGTAATATTTACGTCATTAAACGGGAGTATCAAATTACAAATGATTATCTCTTAAAAAAAGTTTTTCAATATTTTTTTATTACACCAAAAACTTGAACCTTTATAAAAAAGATTAAGTCAACGAGGACGAGACAAAAAGATTAATTCCAAAGCTTATTATATAGCAGTCAGATTTTTTAATGGATAAAAAAAGTAATTTAATTCTACTGATAATAAAAATAAATAATTGAATAACTTTACCTTCATAATAGAAATTTCCCTCTCAAAATCTCGTAAATCAGCCTCAACAGCTCGAGTTTTCAATTTCTTAACAGCGACTAGCTGAGGCTCAATGTCCTTGGCGTTGTCTCGCTCAAGAATACCTCGAAAAACTTCACCGTAAAACCCTTGCCCGATTTTACCTTGTAGAATAACATTGCAGTCAGCATCCAGCTCGAAAATTCCTTGCATTTGTCCAAGAGGACCACCATTGTGACCACTACTTTCATTCAAACTATTAACTAAGTCAACAGTAGCATCACGTAGACAACTGAATCCCAGATTATCGCCAGCCCCTCCGTCTCCAATACCTCCAACACCTGCGAGCCGACCCAAGTATAGCGACAATTCTTCTTCAGCATCATTGTCAGTGTCGTTGAATTGAATCAATTTGGCTGCACCTTTGAAATTTGCACAATTTTTTATTATTAAAAAATTCTTTAAAAATATTTTCAAAGACAATAAGATACTCACTGTCATCAGGATCATCCCAAGGAAGACTAGTGCGATCGGTAAAGATACTACTTGCTCGTGACTCACAATCAGATGATGAATTGTCAATTATTTCACTCTCGTCAGTAAGCTCACGATCACTAAATGACTTTGGGAAAACAGTAGCATAGGCATGGCTCCGCCGTGAGTGATAAATTTGATACAGTATCTGATGTATATCTCTCATAATAGCTTGCGGCTGTTTTCTTGGTCGGCTTAGATCACCCCAACACTCGGTCATCAACTTGTAAACCTCTGCTGGACAGCCTGCGGGTATTGGTAGTCGTTTTCCACTCAAATAAAACTTTAAAATAAAATACCTCAATTATGATCAATATATTGGTTACTAGGTTGTCTATAGTGTTTATTAAATACCCTTTTGATGGAATCGATGTCACGGTTGACAGGAAGTGCTGCTCCGCGAGAAAAAATTTGCCATAACGTTGTTCCTAATGCCCAAACGTCGGCTCGAGTGCTTCGACGGGCTTCTTCAGGATTATCATAAGTTTCTGGAGGCAGCCAGTGAATGCTATAAAAAATTCAATTAAAAATTACAAAACATCATCAATGTTTTGTAATTTACAATTCTAAATTATGCTTGTGAGTCATTTCTTCGCTTACTTACTCGGCTTGTGTATAAAAGAATAAACCTGGGTTTGCCAGTTTAATAATAAAACTAGTATCACTATGAACGTGAACTAATAATTTTCGACATCGGATGTTTCCATGAACAAATCCATTTTCTTCCTGTAAAATAATAAATTCAAACTTTAAGTATGTTAAAAATTAAAAATTAACTTTTCGGTGATTCTGTCCCTAAAAATTCATTTTTCAGTCATTTAGCCTCTTATAAAAATTTCTCATGCAAAAAATTCTCACTCAAAAATTTCTTGACTTAAAAAATTCTCACAGAACAAAAAATTATCATTCAAAAATTTCTCAAAGTATATTAATTAATAAGGTATAATTATGGTTTTTGTGTGTATTTATCTAAAAATAGACCAATCGGATGCCGCCCGCAAAAAGACTAAAGGGTAAATTTCAGGGGTTGAAATGTCCCGATGATAAATTTCGATGGATAAAAAATAGCCATGGGATGGAATTGTTAAAGGTTGAGTTTATAAAGGTGAAATGACCGGGGTAAAAATTCACGGGGATAAATCGCTCGGTCACCCAAATAAAAACATCTAATGTTTTTTTTTTTAAATATAGATTAAATCTTTTAAAATAATATTTTAGAGAAAATAAATTACCAAGTGCCATAAAGCATTGGCTAAACATGCTGAGGCTTCAACCATATCAACCGTTTTTATACTTTGTGCTGATTTACTCTGAAGATAGACATCAAGAGGACCCAATTTTATCAGTTCCATCAACATTCCCACTGTTGGCGAAACTGTTAAGCCATATAATCTAATACAAAATTAATATATGTTATACTATCATCAATAAAATTGATACAGTAAATAACTTTATAAATTTACCTAACAAGTGCGCTGGATCGTAATTGGCCCCATTTACCAGCTAGCTCAAAGAATTCTCTAGCGTACCTTGACTTTTCATCTCTCAATACTTTTATAGCAGCTTCTAACTTCTTTCCTTTGGTTACTCGCCACATGGCACGATAAACACTCGTAAATGATCCTTGCCCGATAGTGACTGTCTTGGAATTTTTCTCGGGAAAAGGATTTGCTTTGTATATTTGCAATTGATGAGATGGAATGACACGAGGTTCACCCTCTAATAACGCTGTGATTATTTCTTCATCTGCAGCAACGTCATTGCACACCTCTGTCATTGCACAGATCAGCAACGGAGACTTATCTGTTGAATTTTTTTTTAAAGTCATAAAAATTTTTATAGAAAAAATAAAATATAAAAAATATTTACCATATTCTGAGGGAGGTAGACATTCAGATAAATACAATGTTTGCTCAGAATCATTAAACGAAGATACTATGTGGGTAATAGATTTATATGTCTGTACAGATTCTGAAATAATGAACGATTCTGGGCCTAATTGCTCGATTTTATAAGTACGAGGTTTATGGTCTTTCCCACAAGAGTCAAGCCAAAAGACATTGTACTTCTTTTCACATTCACGCAGTATATATGTTCCTGATTTATTTGAGCGTTTTTCCTTGAGTTTTGCATAAGAAAATTCACCTCTGGATTATAAAAATTTCATTTATTAAAAAATTAAACACTAGAAGCGCTAAATACAAAAAAAAAAAAAAAAAAAAAAATAGTACAAACCCAACGGGACCGTGACACTTCATCTTATGTAATTTTTCTAAACTAGGGGTGATAATATCTCTACATAAATTAAATGTCCATTTTACAGCCAACCTATAATACCCGTCTAACGCCGATACAAACGACATCAACAAAGCATTAGTTGAAAATTTCAGGTATGATGGAATTCCACTTTTTCGCGATACTTCGACTGTATTGTCTTGCCTGAAATAACAATATAAATTTATTATAATTAAAATAGTGATTATAAATTCTTGATTATAAACTATCAATTAGGGATTATCAATTACTAAAAATTTTTATCTTTTTGTTTTTCTCTTCTCTCATATCTCTTAGATCTCTTAAATCTTAAATCTATCTTCTCTTCAAACATATTCTTGTAAATTACCGAGGGCGTTTCTTTACAAATAATCAAATAAATAAATTATAATTAAAAAACGATACTAAAAAACTAACTCATGTACAATATCACCGATTTCATTTTCATTTTCATTATTTATTTCTATATTAAATTCAAACTTCACTTAAAATACACTACCGACGGAAAGTTTCCGGACAAGTTTCTTGTTTACTTTTTAATATAAATATAATACATAAACACATTAACTTGATCTATAAAGAAAATTCTATGTTATTTTACAAAGTGCGTACGGTCGTGTTTTTGACTTTCATCTTGTCCGGAAACTTTCTGTCGGCAGTATATATTAAATTATTGTTACTATTAATGTATATTGCCGATCAACGTTCTTTTGCAATGAATAAATAAATATATAATTGCAATTATAATGATAATTAAAATGTGACAAGAAATACCCAATAGAAATTGAGCAGAGATCTTCAATAGCACAGAGGGTAGTCCACTGGTTATGGACATCCAGCTCGTAGTACATAACTTCAGATGGATTCACCCTGAGTAGGATCCGTGATGCCGGATCCGGTAAATTTTTATCCATCAAAGCTTTGTACTCCTCATAAGGATAGTTAGGCGCCATTACCTCAAACTGATTTAAATACTGTTCTTTAACATAGGCTGCGTCGTGCCCTGATATCCTTGCCAGCGCATTGTGAATCGGTTTTTTTATAAAAAAAGAGTGTCTCTTTATACACTCCTTCGGGATATATTTTTTGTAGTCTCCTTCGACCACTTCACGAGGTATTTGTTTTTCTACTATAACTCTGAAATTAAAAATATGTGTTATTTTTATTATTATTCTTATGGTTATTGTTTAGATGTAAAAAATCAAACATCATGCTTTAAAAAATTGTGAAAAATACATTTTTTGATATTTTTCAATTGAAAAATAAAAAAAATACATGCTAGCTATATTATTAGCTAAAAAATTAGCTGATTATTTAATTCTCCAAATTTGAAGCGGCATAATTGGCCGAGCGGACTAAGTCATTATCTAGTTCTCGTCAGGTAATGGTCATGAACGGATGGGCTAAGTACATCCCTTAAACTTGGACATACCTGCAAAACTAAATTACTACCCAGTAATTTCGTTGTAGTTGAATCAAATGTTCAACGGCAAAAATTAGTGCGAACAATTAATAATTAAAATTAGTGAAAAAAATAATTATTTACCCCGCGAAAACCGAGGTAATAATAACAAAATGATTCTCAAAAATGTAAAGTGTAGTGTGACAGGTATGATTACTGTCAGTGACTTCCCGTCTCAAAACTTAACGAACAATGACATATTACATATTTTAACAAAAACTAAAAACCCAAAAGACATTAATAGATTATTTACAAAAAAAAAGGCCGCAATAATTGCGGCCAATAATCTTAATAGAATGGGAAAACAAAATAAAAACAGTGAAAGTGAAGTGCTTGATAAGCTTAACATAAACCAGCTGAAAAATGAAATTCGTGATTTGCAAAAAAAGATATTAGAACTAACAAAAATCAATGAAAAATTGAGAAATAAAAATAACATAAATGATGAAGAAACAATGGAAACAACTTCCAACAGTGAAAACCCACAGTTAGATCCTGAAATCGTAGAAGACACCGAAGATGGATCATGGCAAACGGTTTTAAAAAGGAAAAACAAACGATATAAGGTATCAAGAAACGAAACCATTATTAATAAAATCAACCAGACCGATAAAATAAAAGAAAAGGATAATAACACCCCGATAACAACGAACCAGAAAGAAACCAAAACTAGACGGCCCTTCAAACCGCCTCCTATTAACATAGTAGATCAATCGCCAAGAGAT